GTCACAGTAACCTTGAACTTTGACAAACGGTTTGTCACGGTCATCAAGACATACAAGAATCTGACAAAAAAAACAATTAAATAAATGAATAAATCTCACAGGTATAAACATACTTAAAACAGTAAAACATAAATAGCCAGGTAAGCAGTATTTATTAATAATACACATATATAAAACATGTTTTGGTAACCCTGATACAGTATAACAGAAATTCTTCTTATAAGCGACAGGAATGTGTTTATGTCTGTCCGGAGAAATTGCTCCTGTTTGGTTTGATGGAGTGTCATTTCATTCATTTCTGCGGACATTTAGCAGGGTTTGCATCACAAGCACATCATAACACAGCTTAAATGCTAGAGGCATACAGATCGAGCAACCAGGAACATGGAATCCATCAATTTTCGGCGTTCTCAGCCCTGGCCAGTGACCCGCAGGTCACAGCCGAATAGTTGCACACACAGTCACAGCAACATGCTGACATGTTGTTGGCATGGAAGGTCTTTGTGGTGAGTGAAGATACAAAGTTCGTCAAAGTAAACTACAAACCCCATCGTACACTTTAACCCCCATTAACCAGCTAAACATGGACATTTTAAAGAAGCTAGTAAAGGCATGAGCCTCAGTAAGAACAGTCAAAGGTTGAAAGCTGTTACAAGGAAAATTATGGAAGTGAGTGAAAAGAGAAAGGGGTGGATTTCCTGCCATGTGGTGAATTTATAAACAATTATGTAAGTAACTGTAATTTGTTCTATTACATAAATCTGTAAAATATGTAAGATCGACAACCTTTTTTCAGTTAATTATTACTTATTTCAAGGAGCAGAGCACTCTATTTTCACTTGTTTAAGGAAGATTATGTAAATTAAAAATTGTAAAATTTAATATATGTTATTATTAATATTACAAAAATAATGTTTTGCATTGAAAGAAATTAAATTTTTGCTTATGTAGGCTGTTAATTACAGTTCTTAGAAAGAAAAGTGTCATAAATGCGTATTAGCAGGTCACGCAGCCAATGAAAGATAAATGCAATCACTATTAAATGCTACTGTTAAGAAATTTACATAAAGGCAATGTTTTTAAATGAAAAAGAATTAAGCATTAGATATCCACTGCAAAATCTCCATTACTACACACAACACTTTTTTTGTATTGTTAATGCTAAAGCTCAACTACGATGCCAGCAGGGCCCTGCCAGGAAGAACTAAAACAGGCCAAACAGGAAACCCTAACAACATCCCCAACACACACACACACACACACACACACACACACTTCAAAACCCTCCCAATGAACTGACAGGCTGGCTGACCAGTGGTGGCTCCACAGAGGATTAGTATTTGTATGTGTTTCTAGGGGTGGACTGGAGATTCCAGCTGGCCTGTCATGGGACTCCCCATCGCGTGTGAATGTTACTCAGAGGGAACTGTGGCTAACAGGTCCAACACTGAAACACTCAACAGGCTGAAAAGGTCACCTGGGGTGATCCCAGCTGGGCATAACCAGGAATACTGTTTTTCTGTTCTGTGTACTGGGCCAAAAGAAACCGTATATTAAAATGAGCACAGAGTAAATTTTGTAGCGAACATAGTACAAAATAAATTAATATGACTGAAATCTAATCTCAAAGCAGATGTTTACTGTTGAAGTTTTTCTATGAAAAGATGAATTTAGAAATATTTTTACTGTGGTCGGTTTTTGCTTTAATTTCAAATCATAGTAGGTTAACAGATTTTTGTGTCACTGAATCAAAAGAGTTAAGATAAAAATGTATATTAAAAAAAGAATATATTTATTTGCAATTGAAAAGAATTGATTAATGAAGGGGAAAAGCATGTTCTAGTTTATACCCTGATTGTTCATTTATTTGGAACGAGATTTAAGATTTTCTCACAACACATGCATAAATGGTGCAATGAGGTGGCTTAAAGCTGACTTAACGCAGTGCCTATGCTTTGATTCTTTCCTGGAACTCTTCCTGTATTTTTAGAGCCTAGGCTCACATATTTTACCCATTCAAAAAGAGTGAGGTTTTGATAAAACAGAGCAGAAGTAAACTGAATAGACCTCTGAAGGGAGGAGAAGAATCCCATGACACAGAGAACGCTGCCTCTTGTTTTATAGGTACTTTTTACAGTTAGTGGATGGGCTTACAGTGATTCTGTTTAGTCACACTTCTAGATAAAGATCGTTACATATGTACACACAGAGCAACTTTATTTTTTATCATGTTATATATTTGATAAATATATAAACATGTCTGTCAAAGTGCACCAAATAAACATACTCAGAGAGACTTGAAATTCTTTTTGGCTAAAGAGAAACAGGACTATGTGGCTTGGATCAAGTTGCCCAGTGATGGTATTACTGTACACTAGTGGAGGTATCATTAATGCAATATGTATATAATGTATAGATTTCTGAGAAGCATATGCTGCTTTACACAGAATAAATGGTTTTCAGAGAAGATACTGCACCAGTCACAGTCTGCATGTATGCCAACAGCATGGCTGCGTATTTAAAGACTATGGGTTCTTCTAATAATATGTTATATTCTATGATTTTTCAGGGATTCACAAATGATTATATTCATATTATAATTACATTTTATATGCATCCCAACCTTCTTTTTCCTCAAAGGAACTTTATTATACTTTTGTTCTAATAGGCCGACATCACCAATATGTTTAAAAAGTACACTTCCCAACACAGCAGCAAGGTGGAATACTATAACCTTGTACAAGGAGTTTAATTCCTAACAGAATAAATATAAAATCATTAAAACATCATCAAACAAAACACTTTCTAGCAAGTTTTCTTTGATAGTCCAACTTCAAGTCAAAACAAATCTCCAACTGCAACCACCAGCCAGGACAGTCTTTGACTCTTTCCTGTGCCTGAACCAGATGATCAGTCTCAAGTCATTTAGTTAACCTTGACCAACTAACCAGACACACACACACAGTAAACAGCTCACATCCACCGGTCCTGACCGACACATTCTGTTTGAGACCCCACTTCCACACAATAACCTGTGGTGTGAAGTTGACTGTGTACACTCAGGTATTAGGTTTCAGACTGGGCCTGGGTCCCAGAGGGCTCAAAAAGAAACAGACACTGTGATCTTGACAATGAGCAAAACTGCCATAAAGTCAAAGAGAGAGAAAGCGATAGAGAGGGGCATGGACCACCCAGTGGCTGTGAGGAAAAACAACACCGGCAAAGTCAGCTTTGGACAGTTTGAAAGTTGTTGTCTGATAGCAATTCAAACAGTGCAAGAAAAAAAGAAAGGACGGAGGGATTTTTAGGTAGTATTTACCCTAAAGACAATATACAGTCTGCCATCTTGTTTTAGATTCAAACTTGTAGTCAGACGTTACTTTGTCAATTTTATTACTGACTGTCTTAATTTTTGCAAACTACACATGAGGTTAAGTCATGACACAACTCAAAAACATCTTTTCACTTTTAATATATATATATATAT